CAGGCATGGGAATCCCATGGGACTGATGAAAGACTGATGCAAAGTACCCATTTAATAGGTTGGCTTTTTCCTGGGCATCAGTTGCCCCATCTGGTTCAGCAGGGGTGGTCCAATGTTGCCCTTGCTTTTCCTCCGGCTCCCCACAAATATTGCCTCTAGCCCAAGAGTTGTCTGCCCCTGCCCCCACCATACACACATTGTGCTAGGTGCTGTACATACGGTGCTTGTACATAAGATGGCAGTTTAGTTCTCCCTAAATTGAAACAGTAGGTTTTTAAAAACCTGCTGTTTCAATTTAGGGAGAATTAAACCAGACTAAACCACTGTCATGTATACGCTGTCGTGTAATCCTTAGAGCTTACATGCCTCTCCTGCAGTCGGGGGGGGGGAGGGGGGAAGGGGGTGCATGGTGGTGGGCAAAGTGGTCCCTGAGCTGTGGGGGACCCCGGTGCTTCCCTCTGCAGTGGTGGCACCCCCCAGGCGGCACCTGGCCCAGGTGATTGCAGGGTGTGCTGCCGCTGTGGAGGGAGGCACCGGGCCCCTGTGCAGCTCAGATAGGCAGGCAGGGTCCAGAAGGAAAAAGAAGAAGATCAGGCTCCTTGCCGCTTTTTCTTTTCTTCAGTTGAGCCTGCCTGCACTAGCTGCTGCTGGGTCACACAGCCCCTGAGCCGCAGGAGAAGCAGGTAAGCTCCAACACCTGGGACTGCCCAGGAATGGCTAGCTTGCCCTTGGGGCAGAGTGGCAAGGTGGCAGGAGGGTAGCTCGGTGTGCTGGCAGTGGGAGAAGGAGGCGGAGATGGTGCATGGGGCCCTGGAAGCCTGCCAAGCCCGAGCTTCCCTGAGCATGTCGGCGTCCAGCACCCTGTGCACCATTGCACTTTGTTAGGTAGCAAACTAAAACACCTCAGAGGGGTTTAATCTTGCTACATTACAAAGTCATTTAAAGCAGAATACACTGCCGATCATGCAAAAAGCAACACCATTAAAGGAGTGCAAAAGGGCATTTAAGCCGCTTCAAAGGCCAATTTTGTTGCACGTGCGAAGGCCCATACATAAGAAATGGTGCTCTCCCCAAAGGGTTTATTAGAAGGCAAGGTATAAGAGGGGAAACAAAGGCACAGAGAGGGAAGGTGACTTGACCGAGGTCATCTAGCAGGTTATTAGAGTCCTGGGTGCTACTCCAGGCTCTGCTATCTCCAGTCCAGTTTTCTGGGCATTGCATTTTCCTGCCTCTGCTTTGCTTCAGCAGCATCAAAGATGGCCAGCAGCATGTTACCAATTAAGAATTGTTCAGTACTGGGAAGGAGTGCATATGCCAGTGACAAAGTACCACCTATAAAAAACTCCTAAATCCAGGGACCACTAGCTTCCTTCTCTACAGTAAATTCATTCTCCATGTAATCCTGGGCCTATAGACCTTGTGCTCCGTTCTCTCTAAGCCATCCCAAAATTTAGTCTCACCCAGGTGTCACACAAGTTCCCTCAGATAGTCTATTCAGATCCATCTTCCATAATCTCGTGGTCTTACTTCTCTTACTGCTTTCTTCTAGTCCTCCTTATTGTATAGGTAGAAAGCCAAGGTATCCTCCTGCTAAAGTTTAGCCTTGCAGCTGGAGACCCTGGGTACAACCTCTGGCCTGTCATCTCTAATATCTCTTCTCAAGTCACCCTGCCCACCCTGACATGGAGACGGGGAAATGGAGACCCCAGAGAGCACAGGAGAAAAGACTCACCTGTAAAAGCTTCCTTCCGCACCTTGAAGGTGTCAATGATAGGGGTGCTGATGCCTGCCATGGTCCCAATCATGCTGCCCAGCCCCAGGTTGATCAGCATCAAGAAGAACATCACGGACCAGAAAGGAGATGCAGGGAAGCGAGTCATTGCTTCAGTGAAGGCGATAAAGGCCAAACCTGTTCCTTGCACTGACTGTACACAGACAGAAAAGGCAGAGTAATGTCAAATTGGGAGTAAAAACTACATCGGGAACTTGTGCGTAGTACTTTAAAAGAAGCCTGTGTGCACACACTTGAGGCAAGTTGGGTGTTTTTTTTAATATGTCAGGCATTGTGCCTGGTAGTTGTATGAGATGGTTGTTCCTCAGGTTCTCAAAACAGATTAAACAGACACTTGCCTAGGATGGCTCAGATAATGGTGATCCTGCCCTAAGCAGGCAGTTGCATTAGCTAACCGCTGGAGGTCCCTTTATGAGTCTATGAAAGGACATGTGTCAGAGTGGTTAAGGTAGTTTTTGGCATCCCTAAAGGCTTGAATTCAAACCTTACTCTAGTTATCCTCAGTAATCCTCACTGTGGACTTGTACAGAAAGCTCCCCCAGGAAGTAACCCAACAGTGAGCAGCCTGGGGAACCAAAAGCAACTGGAGGAGATATCATAACTCCCTCATGTGCCACTGGCCTCAGACATTAGCCTCATGAGCCACCAAAGCTTCAGACAGAACTTGGGACTTGGATAAACAAGCCTGTGCTCAAAAACAGATAATCCTGCTCCCCAGCTCCCAAACCTGTGTACATATTCCCTTCTTAAAACACCCATGCTCATGCCTTCCCAGGCATGTACACAAGACAACACTGGTTAGACTCTAAATATGCTTGGAAATGCATGAATGAGTCTAAAAAGGATAGAGATACCCTCGGTTACCCCGTTAACCTTAATGAGGATGGAATTTGCCCTGCTGCCTTGTTGTGTACTGCACACAGGATCGCTCCAAACACATGCCGCATGCAGTGCACACGTGTCTGATGAGCGTATATGTCAAGGCAGCCGCTGGAGAATTGCATACATTATGCTGGACTCTGCAGGCTCCAATAACTTCCTCTACAGAGAAGGGGGATCACAATGCAGAGCCCCTGCAGGACCCCACAGCAGCATCTCCATCTGCCTCACCCACTCAATTCCCTGTCACTGTAGGAGTCTGGCAGTGCTGGCACCTTGATCCAGCCTGTTGCCTGCCTGTAGCATACAACACTTCAGCTCTTTAAGGACTGAAATGCTATAACCGGTGCCTGGGCTCAGTATAAGAGGTAACTGGGTGGAATGGGTCTTGGTCTACAGGGGTCGGAGTCACTGACTTAATGATCCCCTTGGCTTTCATCTCCATGAAATTAAGAAATGGATCCTGCAGCATAACCTATAGCCTCCCAGCCTGCACTGGCTGGGTGGAGGGGCAGCGCCATTAATTTGCTCTACAGCCACAGACGAGCAGCGTTATTGTTTGACAGACTACATTATGCTAATGCCAAAGACACAAGTATGCACACACATACATACCCACACTGTCCAAACACCCTCCCTTGAGTCATAGGGACTGCACTGTTATGTACTTACCTGCCCAGGTGTTCTGTGTGCACACAGAAACAGACACGTGCATATAGTACAAAGATACCTGGTAGAGCAAGAAACCTGTGTGATTTGATCATAGAATCACAGGGTTGGAAGGGACTGACCCATCTAAACTGACCCCCTGCAGGATTCACTATTCCTATGCTACCCAAGACAAATACCTATGCAGCTTCTTGAAAACTTCCAGTGAAGGAGATACCAATCTTCCCTAGGCCACTTATTCCACTGTCTTGCTGTTCCTGTTGAACTGTTCTCCCTCTTCTCTATAGCATATTTTCAAATATTAGAAAACTGCAATCATGCCCCCCACCCTCGAAACCTTTTCTCCAAACTAAACACTCCAAAGTTCTGTCAGCCTTTCCTTCTACAGCTTGCATTCAATCCCTTTATCCTCTTTGTTGCCCACTTTCAGATCCTCTCCAGTTTCCATAGCCATCTTAAATTGCAGGCAGGACTCTTAACTCCAGCCCACCTAGGGCCAAGCTGAGTAGTACTGTCACCTCCCTTGTGTCACCTGATGCCATACTTCCATTGATGCAACTCCAAATTGCATCTGCATTTTTGTGACTGCATCACAAGGCTGATTCATGTGGATTCTGTGATTCACCAAAACTGCCAGATCCCTCTCAGCAGCTTTACTAGATGGCCTGCATTTGCCATTCTGTACTGGTGTGACTGGCTTCTCTTTCCTACTTGTAGCACCTTCACTTGTTCTAGCCGAATTGCGAGCTGTTGCCTTTAGCCCAGCTCTCCAATCTCTCAAGAAGATCTTTTTGAATTCCACTTCTATCCCCCGCCCCCAAGTGTGTGCAGCCACTCCCAGTTTCCTGTTATCTGCATATTGAACCAGGAAGCTCTCTAGTCCAGCATCCAAATTGTTAATAAAAGGTTTAAACAAGACCAGGTATAGAAGAGACCCCTTTATTACACCGTTTGAATCTTCCTGCCATCACTTCATTTATAGCTACTCTTTTCTTCCACAGATGCATGTTCTTCTACTCAGATGTCCAAGCAACATTGTTGCATTGGCTCACCAGACAGCCCGCACCAGCCTACAGATGCATTCACAGGCATTGTATATACAGTATACAATGCTCTGATAGACCGGGGGGCCAGGGCACCAACATGCCCAGGCTTTCATGCACTGGCATATGTGCTGCTCCTATATAAACAGCACTGGGTGGACAGCATGAGCAGACCTGCTAGAGCTACCCAAAGTATTGTGGCTTTAGCATCCCCAGCCTCTCAGAGGCACTTCTGGTTCTAAAATTAGTGACAGTCATTTGCATTGAGCACCTTGTTGAGCTCATCTTCCAGCAAGCAGGCATCCAAGCTCAGCTCCTTGAAGTGATTCTCCTTCACCGTCATGATCACCTTGTACATCTCGCTGTAGTCCTTGGCTGTGAGATGGGAGAAGTTCACATGGGGCGGGATGAGGTCATGGCTCAGGACCTTGGTGTTTAGGTAGCCCAGGATCTTTTCAGCATTCCTAAGGGAGCAAGGCCAGAGTCATGCATGAAACCCTTGATCACCACACCCTGCAATGAGATGAGCAATGAGCACATGGTCCCGTGCAGTAGGGCAGACATGGGATGCAATCACTAATCAGCCCATCGTCTTGGCCTGGCATGACACTGTGTGGGGGTGGAGGGATGCAAAATGGAAGCAAAGCAGGGCATAAGCTGAAACAGAGATGATGCACAGTAACACCTGGAACGTAGGATGCAATTTCCCATCCCATGGGCCAGGCAAGGTGCTGTGTGCATTGGGCATGGGGTCTTCCCTCTCCTCCCACAGCTGAGGCAAGGGTCCACTTCTGCATGGCAGAGATAAGCTGCCTTGGCTACCAATTATAGAGACTATTCCCCCCCCACACACACACACACAGCCCCCCAACAGGGGCTGAAGCCCCACTTATCTCCTGAACTCTAGCTCAGGCTGCAAGAAGAGTCAGAACTGGCTTGTGCAGCAATCCCACAACTCTAGAACCTGGCATTGCCCCCAGCTTGCTCCCCTGGTTTTAGATGCATGTAGCTTCCTCTCCTCCACAGACCTAAAAGTGCTGTGCACATCTTAGCAATCACAAATAGACATCAAACCACTCAGATGTGAAAAGCAGCTGTTTCTGGGGTGAAGCACAGCAGCTCTTCAGCTTTCCATAGCTAAGTACCACTTTAGGACTGGAAATGAAAGGGAAAACCTTCTCCAGCTGAAACTGGAGGGAGAATTTACAGTCAAGTTGGCCCACCTGGGTTCCCCTAGGCAACTTGGACCAAGACCCTACCCTTTAGGTTCAGGTCAGAGACCTAAGGAAGGTAGGCACTCAGTTCCTATCAGGAGTCACTAGGAGTTGGGCTCCTAACTCCTTTAAAATCTAGGCTTTAAGATTCAGGTCTGTGGTCCTGTGCCTTATCTGAACCACAATGACTTCAGCTGGGCACCAATTGAGGTGAAATTTCCCATCCAGGAACTGATCAGTCTCAACACAGATGGAGACCTCTCACCACTGCAGTGTCACCTTCAGGGGTTGAACTAGGAGATTCTGGGTCTTAACCATAAGCTGCTATTGCATGCGTTAAAGGAGTTACAAGAGTCTGGGTAGGTGTCCCCGTCCTACTGAGAGGACCAGGGCTAAGAAAAGGGTCCTGGGGAAAGAGAGAGAGGGAGAAGGATACACATACTCCACCACACATTTCTCATTCATGAGGTTAGCCTTGAACCCCAGGACAGCAAAGACCACCAGGGTGGCCAGCACAGAGGTGAAGAAGTTGATGAAGGAGACAAGCACAGCATCGAAGTGGCAGTTATTGTCCTGCTTGTTGTAGCTGGAAAACGCGATGACTCCTCCAAAGCCCAAGCCTAAGGCGAAGAAGACCTGTGTGGCTGCCTCTCGCCATACCTGGGGATCCAGCATCTTGTCAAGCTGGGAATGGAGATAAACCAGTGAGTCACCTGCTTTCCCCACTGACTCAGCCTAGCAGGCCCATATCTAAAAACATCACACCTGTCACTGCACCAAAGCAATGATCCCCTCACTAGAACAGATGGGTGGAGGTCCTACATGCTACCCAGAGCTTGGGACTCTTACACATTGTACATGAACGGACCATTTTGCTGTGAACTAGCAGAGTGAAGGACAGAGTTTCTTTCCTTGAAGACAGAATGACCCTTCACACCGATGCTTCAGAGTCCCTCTATAGGTCTCCCAGAGCTGAGTGTTATTGTATCTGTTTCACACATGGGGAAACTGAGGCATCAAGCAGGGAAGCAGCATCACAACCGAGCAAGTTAGGGGCAGTCCTGAGGATGAGAAGCCCCAAAACCTGTGGTCCACCTGCCGCATCCTTCACAGAGCCAAAGCACTTCCTGATGGTGAACAAGTATAGTTAGCTCCTTTCAGAGCTGAGGGCAGCAACTCACCTAAAGTTGTTCACCAGGAGTCACTTGCAGAGACACCCTGCCCACTAGGCCACACCTCCACCAAGATCCTTATCTTACAACACGTCCCTCCAGTCTCCCTCCCCTCCATTACATGGGCACCAGCTGGCACTGCACATCCACTCAAGTGAGTGCCAATCTTCCTTGGAGGACCGCTGGCTGCTGAGTGCTCCCTTCAGGATCCTTGAATGCCCGTCTCCCTACAGTGCAAGTGCTTTAAAAGTGCCCTCAGCATCACTACTGCTTTGAGGTACCCATCAGCTTGTGTAACTCGCACCCCCTGGGCACCATGTTCTACTGCTCCTAAAAGCTGGCATGCTAGGATGCAAGCCTCTGGGTGCCTTTCATTAAGAGATCATAATTCATATCTTGTAAGAGCTTCACAGGCTGAGCTGATTCATCGACCTCTCAGCTTCATTAATGAATTAGCCAGTTCATTAGCTGATACACAGTGCCAACAGAGTGTTATGCACCAGCCGGTTTCCAGCCTCCTGGCATCTTAGAATGAAGCCCATAGCTAGCTACCAACACCAGCAGAACTGACAAGTGCTGTAGGTCCTGGGCAGCAGTGCCACCTTGATCCAAGCAGTCAGCCCCCAAAGTATCCCATGCTTGAACCTGGCAGCTCCTCTAGCTGCATCCCCCCACCCCACTGAAGGTACAGTCAGGTCCAACTGCATCAGGTAGGGGTGGTCTATGGGTTCCTGATGAGCTTCAGTGTGGGCCTTATTTCGATACCAATCTTCAGTAGGAGTGTATGTATGTGTAGGGGGTTATCTAAGCAAGGCTGCACTACTGCTGCTTTTTAGTATGAAGTGTGTGCATGTGCGTGCACATGCATGCACTTACACCAGTTGGGAGGGAGGGGGGACACAACAATGACTGCCGGTGTGTAGGCGTGACTGGCAGCTGCTCTGCCTGTGTCTGGCATGACTGCACATGTACATGTGTGCATCACTGTGTGCCTGCCAATGATTTTCTCCAGCAGCAACCAGCTTCCTCCTGCAAAATAAAGCAGGAGGCCGAAAGGAAAGGGTCCGAAATCTGCTGAGATCAGATCTGCCTCCTCCCCCATTGGCAATATGAAGGACACTGGGCAACGTCTATGTCTGATCAGGGCAATGGGGGATGGGAATTTACCTTTGGAGTGAACATATGCAGGATGCCATCTATGGCTCCCCTCAGCAGCAGTCCCCGCACCAGGAAGCAAACCAGCACCACGTAAGGGAAGAGGGAGCTAAAGTACATCACCTAGGAGAGAAAAGAACCAGCATAACCAGGGCCTGTACACAACTCCGGTGCCCCACACTGGTGCTCAGACAGCCCCTACCCTCCACTCCCCTCTGCAGAGGCACTACATGAGAAAGAAAAAAAAAGGAGAAGGGGAGCCAATGCTGCCCCAAAGAGGAACTATTTGCCCTTCTAAGCCTCCATTGAACATGACTTACCACTAGCAGCTGCTGTGCTGCTAGGGGCATGTCTCCATCCCTTGGTACTCTCTATCACTAGCAGGGAGGAACAGAACCCTTCCACCACAGGAGATTTGAACTCAGCATCTTCAGCTATCACAGGAGCTATGGGAGAACCTTCACTAGCATTTAGCAGTAGCAGGTGGTTATATTCTACCTGGGCCAGATGCTACATGTTGGTCACTATTGCCTTCTATTCTCTTCCTGTGCTACAGTGCCACAGTACATGCCATGCAGCTCAGGCTGACTTCCTGGGAATCCAGGGTGCCTTTCTATTGCTTGCATGCAGGGCCAGATTAATGCATGGGCAAACTAGGCACATGCCTAGGGCCCTAAGTGAAGAAGAGGCCCAGTTGTGCTTATTTTACATATTATTATTTTGTTTTTACTCAATAATTATAATATGCACATTTCCTCTTCAGCTAGGAGCCCAAGAGTTTGTTTGCCTAGGGCCCAAAGGGTTAAGCCAGCCCTGCTCACATAAATGTGTATTAACGGAGCCCAGGGGGCATACTTAATCTGAGCACGGACTTGTCTCTGCTGCTGCTCTGCTTTCCAACCCCACTCTCTGCAGATCACCTGCTGCCTCTCGGTAGTGCACGGGTAGCAGCCTGGGGTGTCACTGCCCGATGGCACCTGTGCACATACCAAATGCTGCATGGCAGAGTGACAGACAGAACAAGTTTCAACTTCCCAGGGGGCACTTTCCCCTTTGGAACTGGCTCCTGTATTTCACTCACCCTCTGTGTGCTGAAGGCCTATTATGCAAATGTTAATGGCATCTAAATGTTGTTCATATCTTTCTCCCCAAACCTCTTGGCCATCTCTGCCTTGTGGCTGGCACCCACTAAGTCCCTCTGCTACCACATAACGCTCTAGGATACTGCTGCAGCTTCCTCAGAATGGCGGTTCCTTAGCAAAACCAAGGGCAACAAGCTGAAAAGGTCAAATTTCTGTCTCTGGCCTAACAAAACTCAGCTGCCAACATCAAGCCTGTCAGTTGTCCAGATGCTTGGCCTGACTTTCTAAGGTGCAGAGTCTCCCCAGTGCCTCCAGGAGTCAGCAGGAGCTCTCCATGCTCAGTACCTCCAAATACTTGCGTGCCTCTCTTAAGGCACTCAGAGCCTGACTTCTCAACATGGCTGCAGAAGACAGCCTCCTCATCACACCTCAGGGATCAGCAGCAGGCACTAAGTCCAGCTGTAATGGTTACATCAACAATGTGGCATGCCCAGTAGTGATGGAGAAACCTCCTACCTCCAGGCAGAATGCAAAAGCCTAGGCTGCCACATCCTCACTGCTCTCATTACCTGAGCCAGGTAAATTATAGCTAGCTCAGGGACTACACCTGTAACACTTCCATTTTTCTGTGTAGGCATGTCCCATGCTATTTTAGCTAGGCTTCTCTTGGCCAGACACTCCCAACTATAATGGAAAGGTCTCCTGATATCCTTGATGTTTGTGACCTCACCTCAGCTAGTGGCAGCAGGAGTCTTCTTTTGTGGCACTAGTGCCAACACTCACCTTCCCTGAAGACTGGATTCCTTTAATCATGGCCAAGCACACGATACTCCAGGCTGCCAACAGGCACAGAGTCATCTTCCAGTTAAGCCCCCCACTTTCTGAGATGGAGTTGGAAATGTCCAGGGCCTCCCGGTACCAGAAGTAAGTGGTAGCTGAGCTCTTTTCACATTCTGCCTCTACAACTGAAACAAATAAGAGTCACAGGAGCTTGGGTTGGGTTTGTTGGAGACTTACCCAGAATCTTATGAGGCAGCACATCATAAATAGTTTCTAGGTTTCATAGTTTCTAGGGTTGGAAGGGACC